TATCAGTTCCCAAGTTCCCATCTTGGATTTTGGTACCACTCCCTGTTCTATCATGAAAGTCTGGAAATCATGGGCACCCCAGGCTGACAGGGGATTTTCAGATCTGTGTTATCTGAGGTGGATGGGGGAACCTGGGAACTAAGACAATATTCCAGCGGGAAAGATCAGCAGCAAAATCTAATCATACTGAAGTTGATTGACCTGAGCATTACCCTAATATTTACATTTTATGAGGCATAACATCACTAGACCCTGCACTGCTAAATCTACCCTCTGCACAGATTGGAGTTATTTGAAACAGATAATTTTAATTAAAATTCAATAAGCATATCTTCACAATTTTTCTAGTACCACTTTAAGGGAGAAGATGCTGGCAGGACAGTAGATGTTTGGTTGTGAAAACCAACAGATGTGACCCAGCAGGCTGCTGATCCCTTTTTCCAGTCCTTGTTATCTTGCCCATGTCTCACAGCTCAGCAAAGAAATCCCACATGGATGGAATGAGGCAGAATTTTACTGGTGGCCAAATCTCTCCTTATGCAGTGAAGAAGACTCAGAGACAGCTTTTTTTATAGTCATTTTTTCAGTGCAAGTTTAATATCTAAACATCCTGAAAATTTGTCCTAAGCTAGTGTGAAAAATGAGCCTTAGTCAACCCAAGTGTTAACTTTGGCTTGCTGCATCATACAGAGGAATAGACTATATCATACAGGTTCCAGTTTTAAACTAAACAATACAGGAGTCCCCAAACCTCAGCTCTGCTCCCAGTACCCTCTTTACTCCTGGGTTTTCTGTTCCACCCATTTTTATGATTAATTTTCTCCACTCACCTCACAGCAGCAGCACTGTCACCTCACAGCAGGAACACTGCCAGGTGTTGAGAGGAAGCACATTTTCACAAAGGCTACACAACACTGAAGGATGACAGCCCTTGTCATCTGAGACCAAACAGGAGTGTGGAGGCTGAATGGGTCTGGGACAGCCAGACCCTTCCCTAAAGCCCTTATGATTAACAAAAAAATTTTAGAAGTGTGCAAGCATGTTTTTTTTTTTGTTGTTGTTGTTGTTGTTGTTGTTGTTGTTGTTTGGTTTTTTGTGGTTTTGGTTCTTTGTATTTCATCTTGGATTTTCCATTATGGTGACCCATGAGCAACACAGAACCACTCCAGGATGTTCCATTCTTGCCTCCTTCCATCCCGTCCTTGTAACTGTGACAGCACAAGAAGCTCATCTCCACAGGGAACAACATCTTTGGATTGTGAAAGGCTTGTTAGAGGGATGGTGAGAGGAGCAACCACAGGCAGGGAAAGGAAAACATTAGCAATGATTAAGGAGGAACAAGCATTGGAAAACAGAAGGATAAGGGGATAAAGTGTCTGGTCAAGTGTAAACAGGTTGCTGGAGACTGTGCTTGCCTGGCCATGCTCTGTGCCTCATGAACACTCTCTGTCCTGTCTTCTCAACACTGTTTCAAACCTCATTTAAACTCCCTTTTCCTGTGTGAGACATTCTCTGCTTGTTTATGGGGACAGTTCCAAGTGCAGCAACTGGAATGGGAGCAGGAGCCGTGGGATCCCCGTGACAGTGGTGCAGTGGTCAGTCTGTGGTCACCAGTGAAGCTGGAGCTGCACCAGCCAGGGAGTAGGTGACATGGCCTGGGAGCAAGGGGGTCAGCAAGCCTCTGAGGCCAAGACCAAAGGAGGCTGGAGAGACCAGGGCAGTCCCAGAGAGTGTTTGTGTGAGCGAGTTGGTCTGTAATAACAGCTGAACTGGGGCTGTGATCCCAAGGACTGGTGTCTCCAAGTGCTTACCGTGTTCAGCTTTTTTATAGTCATTTTTTCAGTGCAAGTTTAATATCTAAACATCCTGAAAATTTGTCAGTTTTCAAAATTTGTGCCCTCTGTGTGTCTGTACCCCGAGTGTCCAGGATTTATGTGCGTGTGCAATCTGGTGTGTAGGTGTGCCCTTTGTGTGTGCCTGCAGGGAATGCACACTCAGCCTGCCTGCTGCTGGGACCTGGGCACGGAGCTGTGCCAGACTCTCCTCCCCCCAGCTGCTGGACCCAGCCTCCCCAACAGCAACCACTGCCACTGCCATGCCACCCTAGGCACAGATGGGAGAGGATTTCCATCTGTCAGCCCAACATCACTGCCTCAGCAGAAAAGTCCAAGGAAAGAAAGAAATAGAGAGCACAGCTATAAACCCCAGGGTGTGGTAGTAGCTGTATCCATCAGTCATGAGTCAGTCTGATCTGTGGATCCCATAGCCCCTTTTCCCTTCCTATCTCCCACTTGCATCCCACCAATCTCCTCTCTTCTGAAGGGAAAATGTGTAATTACTCCTCAAATCTAGCCAACGCTGCCTCCCTCCTTCCTGCCTTCTCAAAACTAATCTGTGATCAAATCCACCCACCAAAGTCAAATGTCTTTCCAGGGATGAACTTTCACACAATCTTGGGAGCAGTTTTCTAGTTTTGTGGTTGGTGAGAATAAAAAATTAATGTGTTTTTTTTCCATGTAGAAGCATCAGTCACGCATTGTGTGTACACTAAATTCACAGGGTCATAGAAATTAGAGACTGGAGAGCCCAGGGGAGAGAACTGCTCCAGCAAAAGAGCTGTGCAAAATTGTTCTCTGCATTGCATTAAGGCGAGGAAGGTCTTTGAGCATTCCTAACTCTCATGACGTCCTTGTTTTCTTGTCACCTTCTTCCTGAAACACAGGTGTGGGCATTGTCTTTCCCAGAGAAAGTAGCTTATTAATTTTAATGAGGAAGGAAGATGTGTGCTGTTGAGGAACAAGCTCAAATTAAAATATTATTATGTAATCAAATATGGGATTTTCACAGTGACATTTAAAGAGCCATGTCCTTATTTTTAGTTAAAACCTGCAGTGAGCTGGCTTATGATCCATCAACATCCCTGTCTGAGGATCTGACCCAGATTAGATTTATTTGATTCTATTCTCAGGCTATTATATACTCTCCCATTATGGATCGAGTCTTAATGCCAATCAAATGGCATTGGAAAAGCTCCAAATGGTTTCAGCTGAGTGGGAATGGCCCTGTTCAGACCATGTGCTTAAGGTCAGTGTCTGCTCTCAGGTATAAATCCAGCAGAATGTCACTGAAATCAATTGAGATATAGCTGATTTATAGAGATGACATTGGCAGTAGCAATTGACTGCCTCCAAGAACCTGTCTGTGGCCTCAACTCAGCCCTGATCTCTCAGGATCCTCACACAGGTGCTCAAGTCCACACACTAGAGGACCTGCTGTCTAGGTATCTTCTGACACTCATTTGAGCTTTTTTGGTTTAATTTTCTGAACTAACAGATTTGAGTGCACTGATTCTGGGGTGGAACATCACATGATTGAAAAATGTCAGGTTTGCTGTAAATTCATTGTCATGTGTTCACCTATCCCTGTGCATGTGGGAGCAACAGGAAGAAAGTGTCCTCCTTTCCTCTGCCACCTCAGCTGAGAGGCAGCCAAAACATCCTTGAATTTCTGTGTGGAAACCAGGAGTTGCCCTGTGCTCTGCTGCTCCTACCATCCCACATCCTCATTCAGCCCCTGCAGAGATCCTGGAGATGCCCTCAGAAATTCCTTCTCATGCATCATGCCTCCTCCAGACTTCTCAGCATGGGCTGTGACTTTGCTGCTCACCTTGTTCATGTCCTGAATTCACCCCCTGCTTTGTGGATTTAAAAGTTCAGCGAAAGGCCAGCCCCATGCAAAGATTTAGAGGGTTCCTAAGATACTGCTGCAACAAATCTTTTACTCCCACTCCAAGCAGTGGAGGTCTGGACATGAGAAGAAATGCACAAGGAGGAAGAAAAAACCATTTTCATTAGCAGTGACTTGCTGACAATGTGGTTTCTCTGTCAAAACCTGTGACCTGAATTATCACTGCCTGTGCTGCCGGAGGGTTTATTGGAAAATGGATAGCTTTGCAGGGAAAAGAAATCAGGCTGGTGGACATGACATTTTTTTTTAATAAAAGGAAACAAACTCACTTCCTTATATTGCATATAAGCAAAGAGAACATGATCAGAATACTCTTGGTGATGAATCAGGCTGCAGAGTTCATGGTTGAATCACAGGTCAGGGATGTTCCAAACTACCTTTGTGCCCCCAGCAGCTAAAGCCCCCAAAAATGCATTCTCCATCCTATAGTTATTTAGATGCTGCTTGAGTTTCCAGTAAGGTGAAAAAAAACCCCAACCAACACTCAAAGGAATGTCATGGCTGGGGGATGTCCTCACACCACCTCCCATTTTGTGTGAACGTCATCCCAGTGGAGTTCTGCAGCCAACAGAGGCTTAAGGCTCTCATTCAGATGATGTTCCCAAGTCATTGCCAAAATATCAGGAGTGGAAGAACCTCTTGGGCAACTGTGAGCATGGTAGGTGTATCCTGCCCCATTTCTGGATGGATGTATTGCCAGGAAGACAGTGAACAGGCTCAGTTATACAATCCCTTTGTGGTCTGAAAGACAGACCTGTGTAAGCTCCTGACAAATTCAAACACAAGACAACACTGGGTGGCCAACAAGGCCAAGTGCAAGCTCCTGCACATGAGTCAAGGCAATCCTAAGCACAAACACAGGCTGGGAGAAGCATGGATCAAGAGCAGCCCTGAGAAGAAGGCCTTGGGTGAGTTGATTGTTGGAAAGCTTGACGTGACCTGGCAATATTCTCTGGCAGCCCAGGAAACCAACTGTGCCCTGGCCTGCATCCCAAGCACTGTGGGCAACAGGTCAAGGGAGATTTTCTCCTTCTATTCTGCTCTGGTGAGACCCCACCTGCAGTGCTGCATCCAGCAGCAGAAGAAGGGTGTGGGCTTCTTGGAGCAAGTCCTGAAGGTGAAGATCAGGGGCTGGAGCACCTCTGCTATGGATAAATGTAGTTGTTGGAGCAGACACGACACAAAGCAGATCCTTAAGAAATTTCTTCAAAAATCCAAAATACAGATAAATCCTGTTTTTCCAAGGTGTTTTTCACAGCACAGATGTTCTTTGTTTTCTTCTACCTTTATCTTCTTTCTCTTCTTCTCATGGACACACAGGAATTCTGCTGGTTTCCTCTTTCTGTCAATTCTTTTGTCTGACCCCCTCCCACCGTGGGCCCTCTCCACAGATAAAGGCTGATATAGCTGGGGCTGTTCAGCCTGGATATGAGAAGGTTCTCAAAGGACCTTAAAACACCTACCAGTAACTAAAGGAGGCCTACAAGAGAGATGGAGAGAGATTTTTTTCCATGGCAGATGGAGATAGGACAAGTAGCAATGTCTTTAAACTAAAGGAGAGTAGGTTAAATTAGACATTATGAAGAAATTCTTCCCTGTGAAGGTGGTAAGGCAATGGAACAAGTTGCCCAGAGAAGCCATGGATGCCCCATCTCTGGAACCTCTGCCATCTTCAGAATATTTGTTATTGGTGCCAATACTTCTGTTCATCTTCATTCTTTTTAATGATGTGGTGAGTTTAACTTGGCTGAACAGCAGGTGCCCATCAAGCCACTCTATCACTCCCCCTTCTCTGTGGAGGGAAAATAAGATGGAAAATTAACTTGTAGGTTGAGATAAGGCAATTTACTAAGCAAAAGCAAAAGTTTACATGCACTGAAATAAAGAGAAAAAAAAATTGTATTCTCTACTTCCCACCAGCAAGTGGTGTTCAGCCACTTCCCAGGAAGCCAGACTTCAGCACATGTAGCAGTTTTTCCAGACAGCAAATATTGCAAATAACAAAAGCACCCTGTTTGTTCTCCTTTTCTTAGCTTTTATATCAGAGCTGATGTTGTATGGTATGGAATATCCCTTTGGTTAACTTGGGTCAGCTGGCCTGCCTGTGTCCCTTCCTGGGGTCTCCTAGCCCCTTGATGGGGAAATTCTGGGGAGACAGTGCTGATGTTGTGCCAGCTGTGCTCTGCAAGAGTCAAACACTGCTGTGATACCAACACCTTTCCAGCTCCCAATGCCCAGAGCACTGTGAGGGCTGCCATGGGAAAATGAACTCAATCTCAGACAGACCCAATAAAAATACTTTTCATCCTTCTGACTCTACAGTTCCTGGATTAGTCAGATTCTCCTTTTTTATAACACTTCTGCAAGCATATGACTAAAGGGGAAGTCAACACCCTGCAGTCACAGATGAGTTTAGTCAGTGGCTAACAAGCCAAGTGCTTGACCACTCCCCTCCCAGCTAGGCTGTCTTTAAGTCAGCTTGGATGAACCAAACTTTGCATGTGTTTGCCACTGGTATTTTTTGTTTCATTTTTAAAGAATAGTGGATTGGCTTTTGGCAACAAAATGAGGATCCCAGCCCACCTTGGGTGAGTTCTTGATTTCCTCATGCAGAACAATTCATCTCATCTTCATCAACATGTAAAAGCTCCTAAACAAACCTCACCAGTCAGAAGGGGTATACTCAAATTTGATAAATTTTTCTATAGCACCCTCAGTTTTTGAAAATGTACATGTTACTGTAGAAGCTTTTTCATACTTCTGGTTGATCCTATATGGCTCAGTGTTGTGCTGTGTAGATATACCCAAGTCATGTCTGAAAATCCATGTCAAAAACAGAAAGCAGGCTAATCATATGGATGGAATCTTCCAACCAGACAATCAGTTCTCCTGAAAACCAGGATAAAGAAGCCAGGAAAGCCTGGCTGCCTCATTTGGGACTGTTGCAGTTTCTTTGTGTGCTCTTGCACTGCATAAATACCCCTTGACTTACAAGCTCCATTTATTTGCTGGAATTAATGCAACAGCATGCAGTTACTATGGTGATGTGGGTTCCCTGACTATCTCAGGCTAAATCCATACCCATGTGTGAGCTGGTTCTTGCAGTGCCTGAAGTTTGCTGGCTCTGGAGTACAACCAGACTGGAAGCCAACGTGTAGGAATGGCTGGGTGATCAGGAATGTGGATATCACTTACACAGAGACATTGGCTCTGCAGTAGCTATGAGCTTCGTGTGTCTCAATGTCCCTACATGCTCCATGCATGGAGGGGACAAGCACAGGTGACATTTAATCTTTATGAAGAAAGCAATGACACAATTCACATCTCCCAGCCTTGTTGCTCATGTACTCGGCATGAAGCTTCCTGGTGCCAGGCTCCTCCCTTTAGAGACAGGAGATAAGCATAGTTCTGCCTTTTTCTCTTGACTGCAGAAGGCAAGACTTCAAGAGTAGGTGGAATCCATGCAGTTACAAGGTCCTCAAAGTCTCTGAAATACCTTGATTGCTGTGACATCCTCTGTTTCCAGGGCTTCAGGGCATTTCATAGATGCACAGTTCTTTCTCTGCTCTTCTGCATAAAGGATTCCATTTGTAATTACTAGAAGCAATTAGGGAACTTCCAAGAGCTTTAACAATTTCTCTGTGGCTGGGAAAAGGGTGCACTTAATCAAAGCTATGGTTTGTGAATTACCTGCTCAGCTGTTGATGGTAACTGGCTTTACCCAGCAACTTGTTTGTGTTCCCTGGAGCCTCAGATACCTCTATGCTGCCATGATGATTTTATCTTCTTCAGCCTTTTCTTCAGGAATAGATCTGTGTCCAGCTGTGTCTCAGTCAGCAGGTTTGTCTGCCTGGTGCAGGTCCCCATGGCACACAAAGTTGTGCTGTAGCACATTCTGGCAAAAAACAAAGTTGCTCAGATATGCTATAACAAAGATGGTTTCCCTGCTAGGATGGCACAGAAATGTTTGCTCTGTTGAGAGATTAAAGAACATCTGCAGAGTTTTCTGCTGACAGGAATGTGTCACTTCACAGCCGGTGGTTTGCAGAAGCACCCTGTCATTACCCAAGCACCCTGTCTGCAGCTGTGTGGTGCTCAGGGAAGGGAAGGGAAGTGGGCTCATTGCACAAGCCTCCTCCAGATGACTTACCTGCTGCTTGGAGCACTAATCAGTGTCAGAACAATATGGACTACAAGGCTGGAAACATATTTATGGGTAGATTTTGCAGAGTGTCTGTAGATGCAGAAATTTTGGCAAAATTAGGGGGAAAAAAGAAAATGAGGGGGGAAAGGAAGACTCAGGGATAAAGGAAAATTATTTGCCTAAGAATTTGGGGATCTTAAAGCTTCCATTTTCTTAAGTAACTTTAAAAACCACAACTGAGATCCATGGATGTATTTGAACTCTTTATCTACAGAGGATTGTATCTTTGGATGTTCTTTTAGTTCCCACTGAGTCTGAAGCTCTTTAGGTGGTCTCCAGCACCTGATGCAGAGAGAGGAGGGGGCTGTGAGGTCTCTTCATGGAGACCTGTGAGGCTGAGAAAATGCTCATCCATGGGTATTGTGGAGAAAAAGAATGAGTGTCTCAAGCTACTTTGATGCCTTGAGAAGGTACCTGGAACAGAGGCGAGACAGTGTAAAATAATAAAGTGGGTATTTATTAAAAAGGCCTTCCAAGGCTACACCTTGGGCAGTACAAGAGCCTGTCTGAGGCTACACCCAAGATGGACAACAGGTCACACACTTTCACACTTTTATAAGTTTTGGTCCATTTCCATATTTGGGTTAATTGTCCAATTACAGCTTCAGGTTATGAAGTCCCATCCTTCCAGATTCCTCAATTCACTGTTTATACTTTTTGGGCCTGAAAATGCAATGGTGTCCTTGGTTCTTGGGCTGGAAAAGGATTGTTTTGACAAATCAAACTGTGAAGAGAACTTGCTAACACTTTATATGAAGTTCAGAGTTATATACTAATACAGTACAGAATCTGGAAAATGTGAAAGCTACAACTTAAGGCATCAGTTTCAAAGGTGTTTCCTGGAGATGGGAGAACCACGAGAAAGTGGAAAGACTGCAAAGAGAGAGGCTTCAACATATCAAGTTCTCTAACAACATCAAGGCAACAACTTTAGAATAAATTTGCAGATTGTTTTAACCAGTCTAAAGCAGCACAGCTATCATGCAACAAGTCCATGGGGACAGGCACTGATGCATCTGAGCTTTCAGCTCTGTCACACCTCTGCATTTTGAAGAGAATGTCTCCCATGTAAACTGTCTCCCATGAAACTTCCCTTTGCAGAGAACAGCACAGACCCAGATGGTTAACATGCCATGCTCCCTCACACAGACTTTCCTCTTATCCTTCCTTGTTTTGTTTTACTTGCAAGGAAAGAATTTATTTTAATGCCATTTAAGCTGAAGGAATCTGGCTGCTGTTTCTGTGCACTGCAATTCTGCTGCCCTTCCAGCACAGCCCTTTCCTCTCCATGGCAGCTAAAGGAGAGGGGAATGAGATCTGGGCTACACTGAGGTGATTATTTTTAAAAGCTCATTGAGCAGACCATTTGGCAGTACAGACATCACCTGCCACCAAAATGGGAAAGGAATTTGCTCTTTTCTCTAGCACACTGGGTTTTGCACACAGGGTCTAGCACAATGAGGGTTTTGCCTCATTGAAATGTAATCCAGGTAACTGCCCCATTCAGGATGTACTTCCAACCCTGCAGCTTGGAGTTACAGTTCTGTTTGACTCCTGAGGTAAACAAAGACAGTAAACTGTTCCCCAATATAAATAGGAAGCAGAAGAATGGACCTCAAAGCTAAAAAACATCCTGTGTAAGCATGTAATGCCTCTCCCCTTATCTCTGTGTTTCCACACCGTCTCTGTGTGATGTGCACAATCACCAGTCCACATCACCAACACAGTGAGTTGGGTAGTTGTGGCTTTTTGTGTGCACCGGCCAGTTCAACCCACCCACACCAGAGAAGAAAACAAAGGATTTGGTTATTCAAAACACTTCCTAGCCATGACAGCCTGAAATTAAATGGAAATTCTCTTTTTTTTAAGGTGTGGGAACTAGACTGCAGCTAGCAAGCAAAGCAGCTAAAGCCCAGATCCAGGCAGTTGTAAGGCTTTTCAAGGGTGTGATGCTTGAGAAACTAAGGTCAGAGGAGCCCTGAGTCAGTGAAGGCTTAGATGCTAGCAGCCATCATGTAGGCCACAGGAAGGTAAATAGTGGCTGTAAGGCCAGCAGGAGCCCCTGAGGTTATCTCTGCTGAACTGCTGTGTAATGTAGAGCAGCATTTCCTCAGTGCTTCCCACGCCAAGCACATGGCTCCTGGCTGAGCATGAGCTTTGCAGGGCAGAGAGCCAGCCTGACCTCTCAGTTTTGGGTAAAGATGTCAAGAGATGGATAACACGCCACTCAAGGAGTTACAGGAGGAGCTCGGATTTGGAAAACCTCTCATCCCACTGCTCCCATGTCCTAGCCAGGACTAACACCCTCTAGGTCCAAAAATCCAGGTTGCTGCCTCAGAGGGCAGATATTAGGCCTTGAGCTTGTTCAGAAGTTAAGAGGGAGTGAAATATGAACCAGGACCCACACTCTGTCCCAAGGAAAGGTTTAGCTGGCAGCACAAATCCCTTGTTTGTGCTGCTTATTCATTTGCCTTGTTGTGACAAGCTTTCACCTTACAAATATATTTGGATTCACTTTTAAGACAGTGTCTCTCATTGGATACAGTGAACTTGGAGTTGTACATAGGAAGCATAAGGAAAGCTGTAACTCCATAATACCCAAACCTGAATTAGGAGTCATGCAAAAGGTTGGTCAAAGGTGAATCCAAGAGCTCCAAGGCAAAATCTATTTGGGCTGCAGATGTGTGAGGTACTTAGAGCCCTGTGCTTTGTCTGGTTTCTGCTTCTTGACTTCTAACTGAGCATCTGAAGCCTCTTCTTAGAGCTTCAACATGCTGTGATCTGCAAGGACAGAACCCTGTCTGTTCCATGGGAGCTCCCTGCAAGGCTGCCAAGCAGCCCACATGGCCCCCAAATGCACTCAAAAGATCCTCACTGATTTCCACAATAATGCAAAATTCAAAACAGGTGAACTAGATCATCCCCAAATCTCCAAATCAATGTTAAAATAGCATTCAATATTGTAATAAATTTTGTAAAGTTTTGGGTTGCATTCTTGTTTTTAAACCTTCAGGGCATATTCCTAGCACAATTAGAAATAGTGTATATATGAATTAAAATACTATTAATATACATTTGCATTATATTTAGGTATTACTATATAAACATTTAAGTACATAAATGTTAATATAATTCATCAAAGCTAGAAATATTATTTTTCTAAATCATAAGATATTCCCATGTATATTTTTTTTTCCTGTGATAGTGTTAATTTTCTTTATAGCAGCTCATATGGTGCTGCTGTGTTTTTGATTTGTGCTGAAAGCCAATGTTTTCATTACTGCTGAATTTTACACAGAGGCAAGGGCTTTTTTGCTCCTCACCCCACCCCACCAGTGAAGAGGCTGGGGAGGGAACAAGGATTTGGGAGGGGACACAGCAGGGACAGCTGACCCCCAACTAACCCAAGGGATATTCCAGACCCTTTGGGTATAAATTAGTGTATAAATCTGAGGGCAGAAGAAGGAAGGAGGTACATTTGGAGTGACACTGTTTGTCGTCCCAGGTAGGGAGATGGATCTTGGCTTTCCCAGGGATGGCTGAGCACCTGCCTGCCCATGGGATGTGGGGAATGAATATCTCTGCTTGGACATGCACTTTTTGCTTTACCTGTTAAACTGCTTTTAGCTCCCACCCCCCATGAATCTTCTCACTTTTACCCTCCCCCTTCTCTCCCCATCCCTATGATGGGATGAGCTGATTATCAGGGTTAAACCACAACACCCTCAAAAAAGCTATTTCTAGAAACGGGGGATTTCAGTGAAACAGCAACACTTCTGTGCGCTGTGTTTGCTCAAATAGTGGCAGTGATTTTTCTCCCCTTCAGATTTTGTTAGGGATGAAGCCTTAGCACAGATCAGTTTTAGAACTGCCACACAAATATTGCTTGTTACATCTGTAATTTGAATGCTGGGTATTCAGAAATGACAATTCAGCTTTCTAAAGCTGAGCACTAAAAAGTAAAAGCTATTTCCAAAAGTCCATGAATAACTTTCTTATGCAATAACATCCACAAATCCAGTGTCAGAGTTAAACTTTGAATTCCACAGACTTTAACTTGCAGAAACACACTCTGCCTCTGCATATGCTACCTTGGGAGATGAAGATCCATCTGAAAAGTCTATAAATTTGAAAAATAACTCTCATAAAAACTAATTTGATTTATGTAAGCACATTAAGGGGAAAATACCCTGAACAGTTGGTTTAAGTGCTTAGACTTCTTTAACTTAATATTTCCATATGGTTACATTGTAATTTTAGAATATTTTGTTGCTTCATACTCTTCTATGTTAAATTTGAGAAACAAATCAAGGTACTGGCACAAAGAAATTAAGCAACAAAGATGCTTGCAATGACTGCTTGATTGTTCCCACATCAAGCACTGATTTTTTTCTACAAACTCCCCTAATCCTCAAGGAAACATTATTCCAATTGTCACAGGGTTGTTTGTATGATTGTCTGTGAGCAGACAATCATAAAAATCTTCTGATATAACAAGCAGAAAAATAAGTGAAGAAATGAACAAACTACATTTATTTTTTTAAAAAAGCAGAATTACATTAGCTAAGCAAAGATTAGCTTCAAAATGCCAGACATGGTTTGAATTCTTAGTGAATTGTTTTGTGTTTTTAACACTTCCACATTTATCCCACAAGATTTTCACTTTTGCATGGACTTTACTACCCCTGCAA